TGTATATGGAAATGCCTGAAGGAAACGATTGTATAGAGTTTGTTTTACATAGCTATAGTAGCTTCCGAGATATGTACAAAAAACTTAGTAGGGGGCGGGGCCACACCTGTTTTTAGGTTTAAACAAGTAGCTTCCGAGATATGTACAAAAAACTTAGTAGGGGCGGGGCCACGCCCACTTTTCCAAAAAAATTACGTCCAAATATGCCACTCCCTAATGCGATCTTTTGTGCCAAATTTCACTTGAATATCTTTATTTATGGCTTAGTTATGGCACTTTATAGGTTTTCGGTTTTCGCCATTTTGTGGGCGTGGCAGTGGGCCTATTTTGTCCATTTTCGAACTTAACCTTCTTATGAAGCCAAGAAATACGTGTACCAAGTTTCATCATGTTATCTCAATTTTTACTCAAGTTACAGCTTGCACGGACGGACGGACGGACAGACAGACATCCGGATTTCAACTCTATTCGTCACCCTGATCATTTTGGTATATATAACCCTATATCTGACTCTTTTAGTTTTAGGACTTACAAACAACCGTTATGTGAACAAAACTATAATACTCTCTTTAACAACTTTGTTGCGAGAGTATAAAAATTTGATAAGCTTGCATCAACATCGAATGACTAAATTTATTTCAAAATTAAATTGTAAAGTGATCGATATATTTGTTAATGTTCAAAACTGTAAAAGATCCGATTTCAGAATTTTAAATGTTTGCCCTTTAAAAGTACCACCGGATGTACTTACTTGGCCAGAAATCTAAAATGTACAACCGATTTGTGCATATTTTAATGGTTTGAATTCAACATTTGTTTATAGAACCTTCGCTGGGTTTTTAACCGAGTTTTTCCTACTACCGATATCAAATTGGTCACCCTAATGCAATCAAATTCAAATCACGCTTATGGCCATCATTGAGTTATTTCGCTTGTGTTCTTCTTTTGTTTTAAATAAGTAATTTAAGATGCTTTCTTTTTGTTGGTTTTTATCCAGTATTTGCAACTGTATGCATCTAACTACGGCCTGTGTGAATGTATAGTATTTAAAATAAAGAGAACGCCATTAGAATATAAGTGGAATTACT